GGTTTGAGATGAAGGGTCTGCCCAGGATCAGTCATTAGACCAGTCGCCAGCAGTTATGGATTTCTCTGGGTTTACACTCTTCCACCTCTCCCTTATATAGCTTAAAAAGACTAGCAATAGTCACAGCTCAAATACTCTATTTAAAGGCTGCCTTGAGGACTAGAAGTTAATTTTAAAACTAACTGACCTAAGCTCTCTGCCACAGTACCTCAGGAGGAGTCTGGAAGGGTGGGGTTACAGCTAATGCTTGTCTAGAGAGTGTGCGTTTTACCTCCCAGCTCTTATTTCTCATTATTATTGGCAAGGTTTTTTAACAAAATTTGTCTTGGTCAATTAACTCAGATGGAGATGCTTGTAACATTCCAAATAAAGCCAACCACATCCTGTGCTCACAAAGATGAGCGAGCATGGCTCAGGAAACAAGGGAATGACAAGGGCAAGGCATGACTCACACCTACCCCACTCCCACATCCCGGAAAACAACCCACCCCACCAGCCTGGCAAGGACACAGAGTGCTCTCTGCTCTCCCCACAAGACTCCTCTCTGCCGTCCTGCAAACCAAGTGTTGCATGCTAAAAACAGAAAGAGGGACTCCTTTTCATAGGAAGGTGTTACTTGTGCATCGAAAAATCTCTTGGTTTGACTTTTATCACATTCAATTACAGTGCATGGAAATTTAAGGCACACTTGGACCAACCAGGACCATGAGGGGCCACCCAGCATCTCTGCAGCCAGATAAAAATCACGCTGGGGAGGATGGGGCCTTGGCTTTCAGTACTTACTCTCTGCAGTGGGTCACTTCACATGGTTTTTTTCCCCCTTGCCTGGATGACCACTGCTGTGGAATTGGAAGATAATGACTGGTTGGCACAGAAGAGGGATGCAGGCAGAGTTATATTAATCTTTGACTGCTGAATGAGTATGCTTCCCTTCCCAAAAACACCTCAGGCTGTTCCCAACCGAAAAACACTTGTGTATCAAAGCATCCAAGTATTTTCCCAAACTATGTCATATCCAAGAGAAAGAAGTAGTTCCAGGGAAACCTGGACAAAAAAGTAATTTAGAACTTCTTCACAGATCTGAAACAAAGTGTTTTGACTAACAGAAATTCATCTCTCGGCTGAAAAAAACCTTTTACCAAACTCCTCTTGAATTTAGGGTCTTCACAGAAGCTGTACCTTCACATAAATAGAAGTCATTGTACAAATAGCAAGGAAGGATTTTTGAAAGCTGTCGTCATCTGAACTCACCACTTTTTCTGAGGAACACATTCACAAGTATATTTTTTGCTACAGGAATTATAGCACATGTCATTTCCAACCAGAACATGCACTACCCATCTCAAATCTGAGATATGGTCAGAGCAGGCACAAAAACGTGGGTGTCTGGGGCGAGAATCGCCTCCAGCTTCCCCCAGGCCTTCCTCATCAAGTAAACTGCTAATGAAGAGCTTGTAAGCACCCATCTTAGGGGAGCAGCCCCCACAAGCAGCGTGGGCAGGGCAGACCTTGCCTCAGACTGTCACCTGATGTGACAGGCACAATGGGACAGGAGAGGGAAGACTCCAGAAAGCACCAAGATCTACAAGGGATGAGGCTCATGTGGAGAACAGCAATCTGCTGGTGACCATAACACACCAGAGCACAGATAAATGGCTTAGGTATTTATTCACACTGCCCCTACAATTTCATATTCATATTCAAATCAACAGAAATAAGGACTGCTCTACACATTTGGGTTTTAGGCCACATATCAACCTAAAAGGTCTCAGCAGATGTCAGCTCTTGCCAGCCACAGGCTACAAATCCCAGGGGAAAGGTCCAGACCACACCACTTTTGGCCATGCAAAGCCCACTGAAATTCCCCCCACAACATCCCTGTCCAATCCCACCCCTCCAGAAGCTCATTCCTGCCCTCATGCTATCTGTGCTGGTGCAGCCACTGGCTTTCAGTGGAACCAAGGGAATCATGTAGGACCTTCCTGAGCTGCCTTCACAACAAACCACCACAGGCACACATCCCTGCTCAAACATTTCTGTATGTGCCCCCTGGTTCAGGATTACCAATCCCAGCAGTATTCCAGCTTTGCACTGCTCATACCTGCACAGACCTGTGCTGACTTCTGGGGTGTCTCTGCCACAACACACCTCAGCCAGGTAACCTTGCAGGGCCACCTTTGTGACATCCCATCCCAAGAAGCAGCCTGCTCACAGCTGAACTGAAAACCATATCAATTCCATTATCTGCACCAGAACACATGAAAAACTGTAGCTAACAAAATAAATGCCAGTCTCCAATTCAGGAGTACAGTAAGATAATTGGTTTGATTTGCAGTACAAACTAGAACTTGAAGGAAAGCAAGACCAATTTCTAGTAATTAGAATCATAGAATCCCAGACTGGTTTGGGTTAGAAGAGACCTTCAAGAGCCTATCATTCCACGCATCCTACCACAGGCATGGAACACCCTCCTCAGGTTGCTCCAAGCTCCATCTAACCCAGCCTTAAACACTTCCAGGGATGGGGCAGCCACATCTTCTCTGGGCACCTGTGCCATGGCCTCACCAAAATTCTCTCCCTTTTAGTTCATTCAGCAGGGATGTGGGAATTACAAAGTGCAGGAGCTGTAGCTGCTGCACAGTTGTGACAAGTCAAGAAGCACATGAAGCAGCTTACTCAGCTTACCCAGCATCCCAAGAAAAGAGTTTTCAGGATAACCTTTCATTAATAAGTCCTGCTTTGGGCTGCACAGCTCACCTGTGCTGGATGGCAGCAGCCAGCTCCCCAAATCCTTCCTCGTATAACTGAGGGCACAGCATCATATCCTGCGGATCCCCAGAGCATTTCCAAGGGAGAACATGGCCCACCTCACCCAGCATACAGGCACTGCCTGTGTCCTTCTGCCTGCTGATGCCCAAAGATCAGAGGGGATCTGATGCTCTGCAGATCAGAGCTGGGATCAATACCACACTCCTGCTAAAACCAGTGTTGAGGGCAACACTTTGACACGGACTAGAAACAGAAGTAAAACTGACCTCATCATTTGTCATTTTCCAAGCAAAGGCAGTGAGTAAGGAGCAGACTAGCAGTGCTAAGAGCAAAAGACTAATTTGGTGGGGGCTTTCTATTTTTAATTATTTCACATTTAATATCCATGGTCTTGATCCTACAGAGATTTAAGATTTCTTTTGGCTTACACACTTGCGTAGGGTTGTGTGTGCATTTAAGAAACTGTAGAATCTAAGCCAAACTTTTTACTAAGTACTAGGTAAGCAAATTTGCTCAATAGGAATTTTAATTTGCCATTACCCCTTTAAAAATGTATTTGTTCTCTGCTAAATAGTAATAAATTAGCCCAACAGAAATCATTTATATTTCTTTAGCATTTTGGAAGCATCTCAATACATTTTTACCAACCACAGGAGCCCAATGAAGCTTAATCAACTACCACATGTACATCTCTCAGGGTTTGGTTTGAAGATGGGGTCTTTACAGTAGAAAGCTTGAATTTTTCACTAACTCACTGAAAAAACATATTTATAATTTCAAGTAGGAGGGAAGACACGCAGGAGCTCTGCAAGAAGAGTTTAATCTGGTGAAAGGAAGAATTTTTTTCAGCAGATTTTGTACCCTGCCCACCTACCCACCCTCCCTGCCACTACACATCAGGAAATTCACACATAGCAAGTCCAGTCCTTAAAAGGAGGCTGACACAGCCTCCTGCACACCTAGGGTTTGGCATACAGGTACCAGTGCCTGCCCCTGCACCACACCAGATCATCCCAACTCCTGAGGTGGGTGCTTCTCCCGGTGCAGAGATGCAGTGGGCAAAGCCCAGGCCTGCCTGCAGCCTTGGAGCCGATTTCAACAGACAAGGACCAATCCTGGAGAAATCTGTGTTTCACAAGTACTACAAAGCTTTTTTTGGGGGGAGGCTTGCCTGCATCCCATCTTTGGCATTCCTCCTCTCCACCAAACCCTGCAGCATGTATCACAATTCACTTTGCTCCCAACACCATCCCTGAAGCAACATCACTGCAAGGGCAGGGAGGGGAAAGAACAGCAATGCCTAAAAAGGAATTGAGGTTGACCCAGGGTGGCACAGGAAAAACCACAGTACCTCTCCCCAAAAGAGCCATGCTGTTGTCCCCTCTCCCCACCAGACCGAGCTATTCACTTGAGTGCAGCTGGATAGTAATAAAGGACTTGGTGGAAATAGATTTTTTGTTCTGCTTGGCCGTGGACTGCTGGAGCCAGGGTCATTAGCTATGCACGGCAAACAGGCAGCACTCCCTCATTAGCAGGCCACTCATCCTTTCCAGCCACCTTCATTATTGGTTCAAAGGAGTGTGCCCAGCCATTATTGCCCTCTCCAGAAACTCAGCCTAATTGGCTTAGGGAACGTACAGGTTAAGAGCATGAACAGCTCTGCAGCAGCACAGTTTTGCTAAGTCATGATTTTATGAGTTCAGGGAATTGCATATCCTTGGGTCCTGGAGTCTTCGGCACTACACTTAACCTCACTTTCTGCATCAACTGAAGGGGACAGGATGCTTCTAATCCTCATGGCTGCAGGGGGAAAGAGTGGCCCTTAAAGGACTGCAAGCCAGATAGAACAAGCTTACAAGTTTTTTTTCTCTTTATTCTTTGAATTTGCAGGCTATTTCCCAGTGAAGAGGTGGTAATATAACTTCCACAAACATGGAAAAAAAAGGCATGTTTGCTCTGAGTTGAGGAAGTAGCCAGCCCCAGAGCCCACTGCCCTGGGCAGTGAAGCTCTCTTTGTCCTCTGAACCCACAGCACAGGCAGAGCCCCCCAGGGCCAGGGAACCTCTGTCCCCAGGCACCAGCCAGAACCTGCAGCCCCCAGCCCACACAGGGCTGGTATCACCCCATCCATCATCACAATCCAACTCAAGAGAGAGGGGAGGAACAAAGAGAGCTAGGAGAGCCCCTTCTCCAACTACAACCACCACCAAAACACACCCAGCAAAGTGTACCTTCAGTTCCTGAGCTGTTCTTGTTCAAATGATCAAACAGCCATACTTCTTCTGAGGCTTTTGCAGAGTTTTCTCTCCTCTGAAGCAACACATCAGAACGGTTCCCCCAGTTCCTCCTTCCTTCTGGTCAGCCTGGTCCGTTACCTCGTTAGGAGTTCCAGGTGCAGCAATGCTCACCTGCTGAAAGTCCCTATTGGTGTCACCTGTTAGCAATTACCAGGGATGAGTCAGGGACATTACAGGGGGACTTCCCCCACCATGGCCTTGCTACCACCTCAAACTTGGGCCCTAACACATCTCAGCTGCCCACTCCTTTCCAAGTCTCTTGAAACACTGACTGGATTTCAACGTTGCAGCCCAGTTTCCTGGGGCCTGTACTTTACCCAGACATTTGCCTTGGTGTTTTGTTGTAGTGCATCAAAAAATCATGGTACATCCCAAGGGTAAAAGTCACCTCCGGTCTGTGTGATGTTAGTTCCTACCTGAGAACCTTTTCCCTTTCCCCTGTCCCATTGGCTGTAACTTCCCTGTATCCCCCGATCACCCCCGCCCCTTAGTGTAAGAGATCAGACCTAGGGCATTTCGGTCTCTCTCTTGACCCGGCTGAACGACGCAATAAACCCGGGATTATTCCAAGCAAGTTTGGGCCTCCTGTGTCTAGATACTTTTAGTCCCTGTTGTATCCACTCCAGGACCTCTCCCCAGCCCGTGTTCAGTGAAGAGCAGGACTCTCACCACAGGGGGTAGCACAGAGGGGTCCCCCGGGAGCGGATTGCGACAGTGTTTGTTAGGGGTTAGGATTTTTCCTTTTGTTTCTTTCTCTCACTGAATTTTGTCCCATTTGTTGCTAAGAGACAATAACGACCAGTACTTAGGAGAGAGAAAAGTTGCACCTCTCAAGGAGGAGGAGTGTACCTGGCTGCACTTATCTGAGGGGCAGAGATAGGCGAGATTTGGCTGGGGGAAGTGGATCGGGTGCAGCTCCCCGCTCTCGCTCTCTCGGTGTCGGAGGGGAAGCCGGCTGCGCTCACTGTGGGGAGAGTTCGCCAGCGCTGCGCTGCGAGGCTCCGTCTCCTGCTGCCTTCTCCTTCCCGGAGCCAAGCTGTGCTCGTGGGAGCGGCTGTTGCACTGGAGCCTTATCAACACCCGACCTCAGCTAAAAAAGGACCCTTCACCGTCTGCTCGGGTGTCTCAAGGGAAAGCCCTGGATCCCGGGCCCTCTTCTCCTCCAGGGGAGTCTCTCCCGGCCGTGCTCGGGAGCCAGGCCGCGGCTGCCCGGGCCCGCCGTCTCGCTGCCACTGCTCCGGGTTTTTGCTACACTGTAGCCGCACACCGCCCGCCTGCCGGGACAGCCCGCGGCTCCTGGCACAAGTGGCCGGTTTCTGCTGCCTCTTGCTGGCCGCCCGGCCGAGCCCGCCCTGCCGTTCCAGCCGCCGCTCCGAGCTTCCTGCGCCATCACCGCGTGAGGGAGACGCGGCCGGGCCCGCGGCGACGGCGCCCCCTGGCGGGCGGGCCCGCGGCG